TTATAATACATAATACAAAAACTATATTATAGTGCAGCTAATATGTAGTATAGATAATACAGCTAATATTATAATACATAATACAAAACATTATAATATTATAATACATAATATAGTTAATATTATAATACAAAATATATTGTATAAAAATGTATTGTTAATATTATAATACATAATACAGTTAATATTATAATACATAATACAGCTAATATTATAATACATAATACAAAAACTATATTATAGTGCAGCTAATATGTAGTATACATGATACAGCTAATATTATAATACATAATACATTTAATATTATAATACATAATACAAAACTATATTATATAAAAATGTATTGTTAATATTATAATACATGTACCACAGTATAATATACCATGTTACATATTATAGTAACAATAATTGCGACGAGTTACAATTAACGAGTAAATCGTACAATTAGAGTTGAAAATGGAATTACAAACTGTTATTATAGTAGTTATAGAGTTTTATAGAATTTTGCTAACACGCCGATGCGCCGCTCAAAGGCGATTTAATATCTGTGTAGAAAATTATACGGCGTTAAATAAACCCTCGGGCGCATCTTACCTGCAAATGTCTCGTTTAAATGCATTAGTTTCCCCTTAGCGCGGTATCCTTCAAGGTATCCTTCGCCGTGACATGTCGCACGACGATTCCCTCGTCCCCGAGACAGGTTGGGTATCTTCCAACCCTTCTGAACATTTTTCCTTCGAGTAGAAGGAATTTCGCGTGGAGCCGAGCTTCTTCTTATTCGACTGTCCCGAGTGACGTACTGCGGAGAAAAATATCTCGCTGCTTCTCGCCATCTTAAATTAAAGTATTATTTTTCATCCACCGGCTTGTCACCGCGGCCCGTTGATTAAATGAGTTTCTCCACTCCCCCTCCCCCTCGTCGTTCGAAATTTATTTTCTCGTTGGACCTCTCATTTAAATGCGCTTTCACCTTTATCGTTCTTCATTTGCCTTTAGATCTCCTCGCGAGTACTGTATTTTTTATGTTTCTTACACTTATCTTATATTTTTGTATCTCGTATTACTTCATATTTTTATCATATCATATTGTATATACTTTACATTTTTCATTGTATTTACCATGTGCTTTGTTATAATTTCATGGCTCGCTCGCTTTATGTTATTGTCGCATTATTCATACTTGTTTTGATATTTCACGTTTCACGAAGAGACTCGAGGCCAGACGTGCGAAACTGAATTATTAAAGCGTTCGCTAAATTACACGTTTTCTTCCTCAAATGGCGAGCAACAATGATGGACTAACTCTAAGGTGTCAACACTTTCTTAAACGATATATTATTATAAAATTATACTATCGATATTTAGTAAGA